TAGGGTTTTCATCCCCTCGTGCCAGGTCCATTGGCTTTTTTCCAGCCATTACCTGCCTCGGCGAACATCGCGCCCCGTGGCAACCTATTTTGTGACACGTGTAACACATACCAAAACCAGCGTAATCTATGGAGGTCGATCACTTGCTTCATTGGACGATCGCGGCTATCTAAAACTCCGCACCCAAACTCAGCATGGCTCGTCCGGCTTCCCCAACCACAGTGCAATGCTGCGTATACAACGATGTTCAAGCACCGAAAGTGTATCTTTATCCTGTTTCCTTAATGGCCAAGTTTCTGTAACGTATAGCAAAACTGACCGAAACTGCCGCAGCATACACTCTACCCTTAACAGATAGCCAGATGTCGCGACGGCGCCACAGATGTTTCAAGTTGGTAAATGCCAATCGAGCCTTCTGTATGAGAACTGACACTTCATCCGTGATGCGTCCACTGGGTGAGATGTAGCTGCCCAAATTACAAAATTTGTTCAATTGTTCTATTACATCCCCAGTTTGAGTGGGGCTGAATGCTAGACAAGCCCAACATTTTACACTTGGAAGGTGCAAAATGCATGTCGAACATGGCTATAGTGGCACTCAAGCTATCCAGAAAAGCTTGCAACTTACCTGGATTTTCGCTTAGCAGTACGATGCCGTCGCCTATTCCACACCAGACAGTCTGCCATCTGGGAGCAAATCAATGCCACTATCGTCGCACCAGGATAGGGCTGTTTCCACAATCAAATCTGCAACAAATTTAAACAGAAAAGGATAGACGGAACAACCCTGACGAACGTCACTTTCCGTGGTGAACTAGGGCGATGTGCCGTAAGCTCGAATTCGACTTTGCCTTTTAGTATAAAGGGATCGCAATATTGAAAAACTGCTCGGACACACCCTTCAAGGAAAGGCAGTGCCAGTGTTTAGAGCGATCAACTGAGTCGAAAGCCACTTCCAGACTGAGGAAGACAGAGATGGTGGGTCTACGAAAAGAATGTCGATGTTCCAGAATTTGGCGAAGAGTGAAAATGTAGCCGGTAATCTTTGCCGTGGTCCTCATTCACAGGTGTTGGTCAGTGAGAGCGGCAGTCTTGAACTGACCGCCTTCAGCGGTAACTGATGGCGATGTGGTCGATTTGAGTCCAGCGCTCTGAAGAGGTTGGCGGTTTCCAAGTGAGGCGATATCGTTTCTTGTGCGTGAATTTATGGCCTGGCAGGAAGAATCCGTTCGCGCTGAGTTGAAGTAGGCGATCTCCTTTGTCCGTCCGATTGGTTGGGATTGCACACAGTCCGCCAAGAGGCCTTCCTGATTCGTCCAGGTATTCCACTTGAGCAGCCAGTGACTACTAAGACTTCCGTTGATCAAACACTTTAGAGTAATTGAGAAAGATCCTTGTAGAATTCATCCTTAATTACATACACCGATACGACGAATAAGCCTCGACGCTTCGTTCTATAGATGTTGACCCGTACTGAACCGCTGAGACATACAACGCACTACTGACTGGAATCCACTCAAGAAGCAAGCGCTCACCCTTGGCACTTAGCTCACTCCCAACACCAGCAACACTGCTAGCGTCGGGAGCCAAATCATCATCAAACGAAGGGTGAGGTTTGAAGATGTTGTGTCAGGAGATAATTGAATCAGGGTCTTGTATGCGTGTTTCAGAGATAAAACAGTGGTGAAATCGCTGTCACCGTCGTCCTTTGGACCCTGTGGTCCCAGGTTCGAGCCCCACCACCGCAATCCAACTTTTGTGGTAGGCAGCTTTGCTGTCGCCGGGTTCTATAACACGCCTGATCTAGTGGGGCCTTATGTGGTTCGCCACTCCAAGCAACCGGGCTTAGGCTTCCCGTTACCATAACTGAATAGTAGGTCTTCTTGGCTATGGGGTCCACCGCGTCTGCTGTTTATCACACACTGGTTTTTCATTTTTTTAATGAATGGATAGTTTCAAGAGTTCTAGCTGAGGCAGTTTGTTGAACAGTCTTATATAGTGCACGGACATTGAACGCGGCTAAGTGAAAAGGAAATTCTGGCTTCAAAAATCCTAACTTCTGATTGTTTGGCCTTACTGGTAAAACGCTGAGTGATATCCAATAGGTGGCGTAGACAGGAGGTATCTTGGATTGTTCGGAATCGAGAGGAAGAACTAGACCGGCGGGAAGGATGGTCTTCCAAATGCGAGACTAAAACGTTAGGGCACGAGATACATCGCAGTAGCCCACACCGACAAAGGGATTTTCCTTGGGAACCCTAAGGAGTCTTTAACTGACCAACAAAACAATAAGGCCTAGATCCGACGCGGGAGCACGACCTTTGAACCCCAGTGGGAACTTCTGGAGATCTGTCACGCAAGGCTTTCGGGTTTCGGTTCAGTGTGTTGTTCGCTGGCGCGTTGGTTGACGGTCCGCTGTTCTAGGTGGGTCCTTAGACCCATTTATTCAGTGAGATAAGCGGAACGTGGACGGGGTAGCACCTTATTGGCTGGGGGCTGTCCAGCTTGGGCGGGCAGTAGCTGTTCAATGAAGTGCGAAGACTTCTCCCACCGTCGAGAGGAAGCCCCAGGTACCCCGCTCCCACGTACATCTAGCGGGGGTTTTCTGACTGGTAACCTGCCCCTATCCAATGGCGAGCGTGGATAGACGAAGGAAGCCAGGAAGTGCTCAAGCAGCTGGCTTTGTGAGAACGAGCTTTGTCTGGCCTCTACCCAGTGACAACTCTGGCATGTTTGATCTGCCGCTGTGAAAAGCCATCCTGTGTAGCTCACATGGTCATGGGGGCACGCAAGCGATCACACCACATCAAGGTGCATTTTCATCGTGATGGTCAGGAATGAATTAGCACCACAAGCTCAGATACGAATTCATTGTTGAGGTCTAAACTGTGACCTACGGCAGAATGCAGGAAAATGGGTCAGTCATCAGTGTGAACTAAACCGGGGAGAATATTAGACGCAGGAGAGCGAAACAAAGATCGAATATTGTGATAGTACATGTCAATATATGATAATAATGACTGAAGCCTATCATCAACGTGAGAGGAGATGCAAACAAACGTAGGCCAAGAACAGTGACGTACTCAACAAACAGATCCCGCAAGGCTCCAGTTACGGGGGTGAACCGATCTGTTAAACCTAAGTGACCCAGACCCGTTTGCCCGTCTGATCCCAATCCGGTGGAAAATACGACGCCATCTGTACTTAGAAGTAGACTGTGATCTTGTCCGCAACAAATCTACGAGAGAGAGAAAAGATCAAAGTAACAGCAGAATAAACCAACACTTGATCCGTTTTCTGTGAGTAATAGTTTGTTGATAACATAATGAAGTCTGCAGTTTCTGAAGGAGTGCCGGAGCAGAATAATGGATCTTGTAGTGTTGTAAAATACGCAAACAGATCGTTGAACGGCTTGACCACCGATCCGGAGTACTTCATGAAAATGTGACTGTTATGTTTCCGAATACAAACCTAGTTCCGTGCAACCGTATTCACCCTATACTCATTTGGTTCTTTCATTAGTTCTTAACTTAGTATGGAAGTGGATTTATGAATTAATACCTAATAGCAGGTTATCGGTACACAATGTTAATGCGTTACTGAAAGTGGACGAAATGTCTGGAACGGGAATGCCAAGCCCAGAATGATAGTAGTATCAATAACAGACAATCACAAACAGTAACTTTTCGTTACCTGACAAGAAACCTTTATTTAATGAGACGTATTACGACTTTAGTTGTGCAGCACTCACACTCAGTGCGGCCCTCAGCGAAAGGTGATCACGAATAACTGAGCACGCGACAGGGGTCGCGAGGGGGAACAAACATAAGGGCTACTGATTCATTGAATCGTCTACAAACAAAAAGTTCATTCCGTAACATAGGTCCCCTCGAGATTTGGACAGAGGGAATCCACCNCATTGCTTGTGCACTACAACTGAAGGGGAGGAATGTGCTTTGAGGCATAAATTGACTGAAACAGTGTGATAAGGCTTGAAAACAAATGCAATGAAAATTTGAACAGCTTCGAATAGAACATTACTCGCGAACGATTACGAAAAAAAAAAACGTAAAAAGTGCTAACCTGCTTAATTTCCTTCACCTCTTCGGGTAGAACGAGCCGAGAAATGACAGAGCTTTCCGGGCCAAACACTTCGTTCTCCACTATCTGTCGGCCACACTGCCCAAACACGTTGTTCCCTAGGCCAAATACAACTGGGGGTTCAGTGGAGGAAGCGGAGGAACGAAATCCAATCACTGAATGAGCTCGACCACAGGCAACATGGTTCGGTTCAAAAGTCTTCGTTTCAGTAGTCGATAGAGGAAGTGGAACTACGGTGGGTACCGGAACGGCGTACACCGGATCACCTGTGGTCAGTTCACCTTTGAGACATGCTTGCTGTGATTAAATCGAATGTCCATAAAGGAAGATTGACACGAATGTGAAATGGTTATCGTTAGACAGGTTTTTTACTTAACAAAAAAGTAACACATCGAGTTGCGGCATGTCTCTCACGAAGTATTTTGTGATTAGTGCAACGTGATAAGAGAATCAAGTAATATGTACTCTAAATATCAAAAAACGACACGGAAGGTACCATTTAAAACTAGAATATGATTAACAGTACTATGTGTAAACCTTAAAATCACACGAAGTTACTGTTTGGTTATAGGAGGCAGCAGCCTGCGACTTGGAACGGACAACAATGAGTTGCATTAGCTGAAAGTGACGCTAAGACGAGGAAAACCAAGCCACGATGTCAATAAATAAGAAGACTGATTCCGTGAGTATTTCTGATAGCTAGCACCATCGTATTGCGTTCATGAAAGACGAGTCTAAAAATTCCATCGGGGTCGAGTGGAAATGCATATGTGCCAGAAGAACGATATTTCCCCAACGGTCGAGATAAGTAGAATGCTTTTTTCCTGAGGTTTCATTCGAGTTCAGCAGTTACCCGTAACCAAGGAAGACAACTTGAAATTTTTTGGTACCAGAATGCTTTTAAACAAAATCAGAAAATAGGAATTCAATACAAGTGACTTAAACGTGGTTCAATGGCCATGCGCGACCAATATGTAACTTTTGAAACCCGCATTTGAAATTTATTTTCAAAAAAACAAAGTCGATAAATGCCAATCAGACTGGTTGATAACAGAGGGGTGTATGAGTACACGAACCTGCGTCCGCTCCAGTTGATCAAACGAATCAAGACTGAAGAGGACTTAGAGTGCACGTCATCAAGCTCGCAAAGATGGGTTGTGCTATAACGTGTAAATGGAAAATAAAAAACTGTCTGATCAGCTGCCTGGTGGCGCAGTGGGTAGCATGCTTGCGTTCTGCTCATGAGGTCCTGGGTTTGATCCTCAGTTGGGTCGATGGATTCGCACTGCTGATGAGACCCAACCAGGTCGAAACAGCTGTCTAGTGCTTCCTAGGTTTTCAGTTCACGCTTCATTTGCCATATACATGACGAATTCCCATTTGAAATTTAATCAAATCAAGGAAAAAGTAGTTATTGAGCATGACATGAAGTGAATCATTTGTTTGAGAATAAATTTTGTAAATTCCTTCATGTGTGCCAGAGAGAGTCATTTGGAGTAAGTGGATTACAAGACGGGTTACAAGACGCATAACCGGCCAAAGTGATTTCACAAACTCTCATTTTCAACGAATAACTATTTGTGAGAAGTGATGCAAGATAAGTCACTTCATGCACCACACAAAACGATTGACTGTATGCGGTGCAAACTCCACAGCCATAAGACAATATGAAAGGGAGTGTAAGAGCCAGTTTTTTGGTCTTGCGTTTGAGGAGTAAGAGATTGCAAAAAAGGATGGAAATGCAGAAGGTGGGAGCGTTTCACAGTTTAACGGTTTGGGCAAAAAAGGAGAAAAGGGCTCGACAGATCCGAAAGAAGGAACGATATGCAACCTAATAAACTCAATCAGAGTCCTCAATCGGATCATGTCTACTCATCTCAAAATGAAGCTGCTACGCCCAATTGAATTCAGATTTTCAACACAAAAATAATTAAATTGGTGATTCCTCTGGCTATACAAATCGGACGGAAAGATTTGTGCATGATAACAGCGTGAAGAAGGGCGCTCTAAATGAATATTGACTGCAGTTATCACGATGCGGTCCAGCCAACTATAGTGTTCCCTAGTGCAATTTGTTCCTTATGGTCCGGCCTATGTAGCTCCACATGAGAAACTGAAGTGGTAAGCATAATATGAAGCCTGGGCAGCAGGTAGTCTGTCTTATGTCTCCAGTACACTTGTTTTGAACGGAACAAAATGTAACGTTCGGTAGCAAATTAGGTACGTCTAATGACTGACTTGACTGTTCGAGTGACCATTTTTGAATGGGATGGAAATATATGCACATTATTCTCATTCGCCGTTTTGTGCATATTAATCCTCATGCTCACATTGACAAATGTTTCGGGATATCCAAAAATTGCTTTCCAAACGTCACAGTTCGTAATCGGTTATACGGGATGAGCAAGGTTCTATTACAAGCTACGAATTAAATTCACTTTCTAGTTCACTGGAGTAAAACTTTGACTTTACGATAGATGAGTCACAGTCGTTAAAACGCCTTGAAGTGTCAACCTGTCTAGAGGTTCTATTTACATTAGGAAGTGTACCTTGATGGAACCTTGATTGAACTCTAGTAGTTTAGCAATAATCTAGTTACTATTACTATGGAACCAAATGCTACCCTCAGTAAACAGTTGGCATAAAACAGATTCACTGAGGTGTTCTGAGCATATTCCATTTTCTAGCTCAGCCATGAAGAAGTACGCCGGTGAAGAGCCTAATGCTCATACCACCCGTGCTTCATCCTTCGGTCGGCATCATAATCCATCAAATTAGAACTGATAGATAGATAAAAGAAGTAGTCCGAGTTTATCTACTAGAGCTTCGTATGTCTTCCTCAATACACTCCATAAGGTTATAGACGGTATGATTTGTAAATAAAGAGGTTTCAGTGTCAGTTTGTACAACTATTTATCATGCACTTTCGTGCACCGGTTTTTGCTGCCGTTTTTGGTTGCCCATGTCGCGGCTGCGCCACAGGTGTTTCAAGTTGACAAATGCTCAAAGTCAAAGTCAAAGTTTTATTATGGGAATAGCTTACAAGCTGGTGCTTCTCTTG